CAGGCCTCGGTGCAGCCCCAGCCCAGTGGCCCCCACTCTGCCTTGTAGGTCGCGGAAGTGCTCCAGAGCGTGGTGGAAGATGTGAGAGCCCTGAAGGAAGCCCAGCAAAAGGAACAGGAGTTCCCAGAGTTTAACCCAGTGGTGAGGGCGGTGGGGACCCCACCCCTTCTCACGCAGTCCCCTTCCTCGCCCCATTTGCATGGAGGCTCTCCCACCACTTATCAGACACCCAAGGATCCTGAACCCACCCAGAGGGAAGCTGATGACTTCTCAGAATAATTCTTTGAATTTCCTCTAAACAAGAATAAGTAAGTGAGGTGGTAGGTGTTAAGAGACAAAGCTCAGTCCAAGAGGTGGGGGGCTGGGATGGAGTGAGTTCTGGGGTCATCCCTTTAGCCTCCCAATACCCACCCGCAGGCGCAGCAACACTCACACGGATCTTCGTTTTCTTGGAGCAAGAAGTACAGACCCTCCCGCATATGCTCAGGGGGTGATTCCAGGGAGCGCTCCTGCCTCGGATGTCTGAGGCCTCCAGAGGGGATGAGAGCTGAAGACGGAGCACAGGGCGAGGCTGAGAAGAGGCTTTGAGGGGAGGGAAAAGCACAGAGGAGGCAGGGGGGAGGCCCGGCCCCCCAGGGACTTCGCCCACTGACCTCATTTTGCCTACCTGTGTCATTCTGGCCTTGAGACCCCAGTGGGGCTCATTTTTGTTCTGGGAAGCTTTGATTTTGAAAGTGTGGGGTGGTGGGTGTTTTTTTTTTTGGTTTTAGGTTTTTGGTTCTTAGAAAAAAGGCTTGTTTTATTTAACCTTTAGATACTTAGATTCTGGAGGTTTGCAGAAGTTACAAGTTTCAGCGACTTGCTTTTAAATGACATAGCCGCGCCCTAGCCAGTTTGTCTCAGTGGTTAGAGCCTGGGCCCGTGGACTGAAGGGTCCTGGGGCGAATTGGGTAACTCAGTTGCGGGCTCTATCCCTGGCCCCGGTTGGGGCACGTGCAGGAGGCAACCAGTCGATACACATCCATTTTTTTTTCTCTCTCTCTCTCACTTCCACTCTCTCTGAAAAGCAATGGAAAAAATATCCTCAGGTGAGGATTTAAAAATAAATAAATAAATACATAAACAAACAGCACAGCCGCTCAGATGCCTCGGAGTATCCGAGAACATTTGTCCTTGGGAGGGGATGTCAGCCTGGTTCTGCAGTCCGGGAGCCTCTCTTTTGTGGTTTGAAGTGAATCCCAGGCCCCCCTCCCAGCATCAGCATTTGCTACTGGCGTATTTGTCCCTGCTACCTACCCACCCTCTGCCCCTCTAAGGCCCACACACCTCCCCTCCTCTCCCCCGTGCCAGGATGTGTGCAGGGGCCAGAGGAGGGCCTGTTCTGACCCTCCACCTCTGAACTCTTCTTCCAGCAACTCCTGCAACGGATTGAGGACGTAGAGAGGATAGTCAGAGTCCGGGAGGAACTCCTGGTAACGTCCGTCCCTCCGTCCATCCGCCAGTTCTGTGGGAGGGCCTGCGAGGGGGGTGCACGCAGCCCGAGCCTCCCTGGGCTCCTCGGGATCGCTGTGGGTGCCTGCGTCCCTCGGGGTGGGGGAGGATGATGGGCGGCCCTGTCTCAGGGCGCTGCCCCTGGGTTGAAGGGAAATCCTTTCTGTCCCTGCCCGGTGCTCCACTGGGGCCCACGTGGGACGGGAGGCCGGCTGCCCACGACTCAGTGACCTCTCCTTGGGGCCCGGGCCGTGGAGGGCCCCGCGGGTCCTGGTTAGTGCGGTTCTGTTCCTAAAACTCCCCGGGACTAATCCAGGTGTGCGCGTGCTCACATCATCTGTTCCCGCCAGGAGCCCTTCAGTCGGAAGATGATTATGCTGCCCGCTGGAGAGGAAGTCACCATGGTCACCTGGGAGGAGCTGGAGCAAGCGATCACCGACGGCTGGAAGGCCGCACAAGGGGTGAACACATGGGCAGGGGCTGGCAGCGGTCTCAGCAGGGCCCCCGGAACCTCTCCCTCTTCACTATTGCACGGTGCTCCATTATGTCGATGTTTGTAATTTATTTCACAGTCTCCTATTATGCATATTTTAGCTGCTTCCCCCCAATTTTGTAACGAAGTGCTCCGTGTGACATTCACAGGAGTGAGTGAACACACTCACAGGGACGTGCATTAGTGACTTGGCCAGCTTTTGGCCAATTGCCTCCCATGGGTGTGGTTTCCATTTAGGCCCCACCAGCTTTGTGCATCTGGGTCCCTCAAAAAGGGTCCCGCAGGGGTGCAGATGTAGGCAGGGGGAAGAGAGTGAACCCTTTGGTGCCACCAAGTGGTCACCTGGGTGTGACAAATATTGTCTGGGTACAAAAAATGCTCTGCTGGCCCAAGCCGGTTTGGCTCAGGGGTCCCGGGTTCGATTCTGGCCAAGGGCACGTACCTCGGTTGCAGGCTCGATCCCCGGCCCCCGTCGGCGTTCGAGCGGGAGACAACCAATCAATGTGTCTCTCTCACATCTATGTTTCTCTCTCTCTCTCTCTCCCCCCTCCCTCCCTTCCACTCTCTCTGAAAAACAATGGAAAAAATATCCTCAGGTGAGGATTTAAAAAAAAATTAAAATCAAACAAACAAAAACCACCTTGCTAGCCCAGTGGCCCAGTGGTTGAGCATGGACCCATGAACCAAGAGGTCGCAGGTTCAATTCTAGGGCAGGGCACCTACCCACAGGAGGTAACCAATTGATGTTTCTCACATTGATCTCTCTCTCCCCCCACCCCTTCCTCTCTCTTTCAAATCAATAAACATACTCACATATCCTCGGGTGAAGATTTTAAAAAATGTCAAATTCTGTCTTTGTGTCCAGCTTAATTTGGGGGACCAGAGGGTATTTTCCCCAAGAGCCTTAAGTTATCCAACTCAGATACCCCAGATTCCCTCCCCTCCAAGTCTTACAGTATTTTTTACTTGTAGTCTCTGCTTTCTCTCTTCCTCTTCAACCAGGGCCTAGAGTCAACACCAGGACTTCTTAGGCGCAAAGGGAAGACTTCCTTACTCTCCCATGATAGTCCAAGTGGAGCCTTCAGTAAGCATCCAAGTGTTGACCAGTCTCTGGATTCTGCTGGTGGTTTCGGCCCAGATCAGACCTTACCAGGAACCAGCAGACCAGGATACCCCTCCGAAGGGGTTCTTAGCATGAAACGAAGCAGACCGATCTTTGCTCCTGGGTTTCCTGATAGAGAACAGTACCCAAGGGTCCATGACGAAGTCCGCCTGGCAAAGCCCTATCAACCTCCTGTGTCCCAGTTCAGAATCGAGCCTGATCATCACGGGCCTGAGCCACCAGGCTCAACAAGTCTGAGAAGAGACGAACAAGGTGCATTCCCTGGCCCAGGTCAACAGGAGTTGGCCAGAGACGCACACCATATGGTCCGAGAACCCCATGGGAGCCTGAGCCTCAGCCCAGGTCAAGTCGATGCAAGGCCAGACCAGTATGGAGCAGGGCCACCTGGCCTGGATCAACCTGAGTTGGTACCTCCTAGCATTTACCCACATGGCACAGCCCCCTTCAGCATGAGTCAGCTGGGTATGATGCTGCCTGGAATGGATGAGCAGGGATTGGTACTACCTGGCATGGGCCAGCAGGGTGTGGTGCCACCATGGGTGCCTGGCAGAGACCAGCAAGGATTGGAGCTGCCTGGTGCAGGGCAGCCTGGCATGGTTCCACTTAGCGCATACCAGCCTGGTGTGGGATTTCCTGGCACAGACCAACTTGCTGTGGAACGGCCTGCAGTGGACAAGAGTGGTGTGGGACCCCTTGACATAGGTCAGCATGGATTTGCAATATTTGGCATGGATCAACAAGGATTGGTTGCACCTCTTACAGATCAACAAGGTTTCGTACAGCCCAGTGTAGAAACACCTGGCTTCATACAACCTGGCTCACAACAGCAGGATGGGATCCAGCCTGGTGTGGGTCAGCCTGGCTTGGTCCAACCTGGAATGGACCAGCAAGGTTTGATCCAACCTGGTGCAGGTCAGCCTGGTTTAGTCCAACCTGGTGCAGGTCAGCCTGGTGTGGTCCAACTTGGGATGGATCAGCCTGGTTTAGTCCAACCTGGTACAGGTCAGCCTGGTTTAGTCCAACCTGGTGCAGGTCAGCCTGGTTTAGTCCAACCTGGAATGGATCAGCGTGGTTTAGTCCAACCTGGTGCAGGTTGGCCTGGTTTAGTTCAACCTGGTGCAGGTCAGCCTGGTGTAGTCCAACCTGGTGTAGGTTGGCCTGGTTTGGTCCAACCTGGTACAGGTCAGCCTGGTTTAGTCCAACCTGGAATGGATCAGCGTGGTTTAGTCCAACCTGGAATGGATCAGCGAGGTTTAGTCCAACCTGGTGCAGGTCAGCCTGGTTTAGTCCAACCTGGTGCAGGTCAGCCTGGCTTGGCCCAACCTGGTGCAGGTCAGCCTGGTTTAGTCCAACCAGGAATGGATCAGGGTGGTTTGGCCCAACCTGGTGCAGGTCAGCCTGGTTTGGTCCAACTTGGAGTTGATCAGCGTGGCTTGGTACAGACTGGTACATATCCACCTGGTTTAGTGGCACAGCCAGGTGCATATCCACATAGTTTAGTTCAGCCTGGTACCTATCCACGTGGTTTGGTCCAACCTGGTGTGGCAGGTCAGTTTGACTTGGTCCAGCCTGGTCCAGGTCAGCCTGGTTTGGTTCAGCCTGGAGTTGATCAGCACGGTTTGGCACAGCCTGGTGCATATCCGCCTGGTTTAGTACAGCCAGGTGCATATCCCCATAGTTTAGTTCAACCTGGTGCCTATCCGCGTGGCTTAGTCCATCCTAGGGCCTATCCTCGTGCTTTGGTCCAACCTGGTGTCCATCCACCTGCTTTCATGCAGCCTGGTACCTATCACCGTGGGCTAGTTCAACCTGGACTAGATCAGTATGGTTCGAGGCCACCTGGTGCTGATCACCGAGGCTTCATGCCGTCAGGCTTCTCACGCCCGTATCAGCATGGCGTGCTTCCTGGAAGAGACCGACATACCCAGGTGTCACCACTCCTGACCAAGCAAGGTTTGATGTCGCCTGCTGTGGATCAACAGGGTTTGGTACCAGCGGAAACTTACCAACAGGGATTGATGCCTCCTGGCACAGACCAGCGTGGTCCAGCGCCATTAAGCACACATGTGGAATCTGCACGCCCAGACCAGATACACCCAAGTGCAGACGCCCGCGGCCTGTATGCTGGGCCCCTGGGCCCACGTGTTGATCACCATGTCCCAGCAAGTTTGGATCCAGACCACCCCAGGATTCATATGCCCATTACCCCAAGCCAAGATTCCACGTTTTCCAGGAGCACAGACTCCCTCCACACTCTCGGGCAAGTCTCATCGGAAAGGAGTGATGAGCAGGTTGGAAAACACGACTCGCTGGAGAAAGTGGCTCCCAGCTTCCCCATAGCGGTGGAGACATTCCGTCTGATGGGAGAGCTCACCGGGCTCTACATGGAGCTAAAGGAGAACATGAAGACCCTAGACGAGGCGAAAGCTGGCCAATCGGACCTGGAGAAGATCCAGTACCTGCTCTCGCTGATGGGTGGGTGCCACTGGCGGGGAGGGGACCCGCAGGCTTCCTTCTAACTGAT